GCTGTGTTAAATATATGAATAAAATCAGCATGTGCTCTCTTCATGACCTTGCTGAGTTAGTACAGCTGTATCGCTTCCACCACTCTGGGGTCTTTGAGTGTTGTTGGAATTTCAGAAGTAAAGCAGGAGTGTTGCAGGTTCAGTCAGCTGTGCTGTTCTGAATATCTGATGGGTATGTCAGACATCAAGCCGTTTCTGTTTCATAAACAATATGGCTAACAGCTCAAAGGTAAACCACCATAATATTACAAAAAGCTGCTCAAGGTGTGTCTTATTTTATATAGCATCAGATCCATGACATGGAACACTCGCTAAAATCCATCTACTCTGACAAAGAAGGTTTTGATACTGTGAAACCAGGAACAAAGTGCTGAAGAACACTGCAGAGAAGCTTAAGAGGAAGGCAAGTGTAGTGGTTATAAAAAGATGTCTGTGACATCTGAGATGAGTGGTCAAAAGCAGGCTTGTTTCTCCTGAATGCAGCCGTGGAAGTGAATGTTTACCAGGTAGGTCTTTGGGATTCTCCAGCATCAGCACCACGATGGCTTGTCAGGTGGTTTGCAAGTGGCACAGACAGCAGGCAACACAGGTATTGCTGTTCGTCTGAACGAAGAACATCGACTGAATAGATGCTCGGTTTTATGGAATAGAAACATAAATTTACTGGAAGAGATTATCATTGCATATAATTTTTGTTAAATTAGCCCCCCCGATTATGAGCCTTATCAGGAACAGAAATAACCAGCAATCCTCCAGCAAATAGTTTAAATGAGTTAGCTTAAAAACTGCATTAAACTGTCTCAGCTATCAAATGATGCAATCAAATTAAAAAATGATGTGCTCATAAATGAACTAGGAACAAATGTACAAAGTTGTTATGGCAACTGAAACACTGAAGTTAAAATTATGGATCTTGAATTCTTGAAAATAAAAGTAAATGAATTTCTAAGGTAATTGGAATTTCTTTAAAAAATTATTTATCACAGCATCATCTTTCATAGTTTCAACAGAATTGATTTGATAGCTTTCTAATGAAATATAATTAATCAAGAGGAAGGTTTTAGTAGCTTATGAATTATTATCATCTTGATATTTAACTTCTAATCATCAGTTACACTTGCTGCACCGTTCCAGTTTTTTCCATTCATATGATTTTATTGGACATATATATTTTGCACCTGAGCAATTAGGTTGTGATTGCTGTTATATATTGCTTTATTATAGCTCATATTTTTGTCTAATCCATTGAATCCTACGTAATGCATGCCTGCCTTTCTTAATTTGGAAAAATACTTTTTTTGGTCTAGGGATATTTGACACTACCTTTAGTGGGCTTTTCTGATGTGTCTACAAAACTCTGTCCTCAGTGGGGCAACAACTGTTCTTGCAGCAACAGCTTTAAAAATCCTGAGGTCATGTTTTCAGATTGCTAAACTGAGTGCATGTAAGGTGCTGGATTCCTTAGGAAATTTGCCCCAGGAATTCCAAATCTGTATGGCTGCATTTTTCATGGGGTTTGTGGCAGCGCTGAGACATTTTCGTGAATCTTGGAACTTTTACTTAAGCCAGAGAATAGTGGAGTGGTGCGGTTCCTATGCTCTGTCAGAACATATTTTTCAGTCTGTAGAATCAAAACAGCCATAATGAAAACTAGGTGGTGGTTGTACTTCTCAGCTTTGTCTTTTCTAGAGAACAAATAATTATTTCAGTCTTTCTTCACTGGTTACGTTTTCTAAGCAGCTTATGAGTCATCCTTGCCCCTTTTCAAATTAATTTTTAGTGGGTGTGTAAACATGCATGTAACATCCAGAATTAGACAACATATTCTTCCAGAGGCTTCACCAGTGCCAAGTTTATCAAAATAATTATCTCCCTGTTTTCTGTTTTCCAGTTCTGAATAAAACCTAGAATTAGTATTTCTTCTTTTTCAGCAACATTGCATTCTTGTTTTTATTCCCCAGAATTCCTCAAGCCTTTTTTTTCAATGATTGAAAGCTGTTCTCCATTTTGGTTTTGTGCCTTTGTTGTGGTGCTGGTTTGTGTTTTGGTTTGGTTTGGGTTTTTTTTTTTTTCTAGGAATACTACTTGCAATTGCTTTTGCAGTATTCCATCGTGTTGATTTCTGACCATTGCTTCCATCAGTCTGCCCCCTGCCTTCTGCATTCTCTGCAAAGTTTTGTGTGTTTGTTATTTAACCATATGGCTGTTAATGAAAATGATGACTGTGGACCCATCATATCTTTGCAATCTAAAATATTTCCCTGTTTGATAGTTACTTTTTGAAAGTGGTTTCTTCTAATTGGATATGTACTCCTATTCTTCATTACAGTGGGTTTATCTGCACTGATGTTTTCTTTTTTACATTGAGACAATGTCAGCTAGAACTGTGTAACAGTTTTAACAAAGGTCAAAATATGCTACATTTTCTCCTTGCCTTTATCCACTAAGCCAGTTACCCTGTAAAAGAAGGAAATTACATTAGTTTGACACGATTTGGTTTTGACAAATCTGTGGTGGCTGTTTGTTATCATTTTAATTATCTCCAAGGTGCTTACAAGTGGATAGCTTAATAATTTTTTTGATATCTTTGTGGATATCAGAATTCATTCTGTAAGTCCCTGGGCTCTGGTTTGTGGGTGTATATATATGGCGTTCTATACACACATACGTATGTATAGAAATTATAATTTCTATATTATTATAGAAATTATAATTTCTATAATTATTTTGATAAACATACATATGTATAGAGGTGAAATGTTTCCCTTTTCCATAGTCCTCTGGAATCATCCTCATCATCTGTGAAGTCTTAAAGACGATTATTAATAATTTAGAGACTTTGTTTCATACTTTCAGGAGAATTTAATTATTCTGTTCTGTGTTGAACTCAACCAACCATCTCCTTTCTTCTCCTTTCCTCTCTAATCTGCCTGAGATAGCTAACATGAATGAAGAAAATTTCATTTGTGCCATAGAATACATTTTGCTTGAGGCAGGACGGAAGCTTTGACAGTACTCAGCTCCTTGCACTTGAACGTCTTTGTTGATAAGTGACTTAATAAAAGCAATGTAACCAATCTGTAAAGTTTTATGGTGTCTAAAGTAGTATTCATTGAGGTAGGTAGCTGCATAAGCATACAGTGAAGTCTGCGTTGTGTTAGCAACTTGTATGGAGAAAAAAATATTTAAAAATAAAACAAGTTACAGGTATTTAGCATGCAAAAGACACTTCATGCCTGTCAGCAAAGCCAGTCATATTGAAGCAGGCATTGTGGAAAAAGCATGAGACCACCTAAGTAGTCACTTTATTGCATATGTACGTAGGAGTGAATAAGATTATATGGTGACAGCAGCTCTCAGGATCCAGCTAAACCAGAAAAAGGAACCAAACCTGTAGGTCTCAATGCAAGACAGTCTTGCTGCTGAGAGAAGTGGGACCACACACCTATGTGCACATACAGCCAGTAGACTGAGCCACATTTTTTAGTTTTTGTGTATTGTTTCTACTTCTGAGTCATGGGAGGGTTGGAAAGGAGAGAAAGTTAGATGATCCAAGTCCTTTAATCTCAGAGCCTTACTAAGAAAAGGGTAAGACGTGCAAACTAAATGCACATGTTTCTGCTTAATGAAGTGCACAACTGATGGTGAAATTTCCCGTGAGCATGGATTGTCTGGTCATTATAATGAGGGCAGTATGGGCACCTATGTCTGTCTGCTATGGCTGAGAAGCAAAGACACTAAAAAGGAAAGGGGGAAATCACCCTACATCTTTAGTCTCTGCAGTTATTTTGCAGCCTCTTTGGTAGACTTCAGAGCTCTGTATCCATCTACCACGGGCGAAGTTTAGCGTGATGATCTTGCCTCTGTGCTACAGCGAATCCACCATTTCCTCGCTATTGGTCTACCCTACTTACGCTTTGAACCTGGTATTCAGGACAAGAGAAATGACTGAGCACAGCAGAATGCTTTTAGCAAAACTGTACCATACCATTCCTG